TTACCTATCTCACCACCATAATGTGCTGTGTTCTATTAATTGAGTTACTGCGGCTCTTTGAAGAAAATCTATATAATCTATTTAATGATGCCCACTCATAACCAGCTCTACACTAATTATGAGAAAATGTAATTCAGATAGTTGTTTACCTAAATTAAATTTAAATTATCTCTATCACATTAGAAAAATTATTTTGTGTAAAACGGGCTACTTTCAAGATTCGATGTACAGGGCGCGCAAAATAATGCAGAAAAGTACGTTATAGTTTTCATTTATACAAAATTCAATAAAAAAATATTTATCAATTGACCACGTAATCTGAAAATCTCTGTCGACAAAAGTTTCTCATCTGCTCGTCTGAAAACTGCAAGACTATAAGTTGAAGCTTCTAAATGATCACCTCTCATTCTCATCATCAATAACGAACGAAAGATATCATTGAGAATTACATCAGCGCTTTTCCGGGGCAATGCAATACGAAGATTCGAAAGTCTTGACTGCGTACGCGCAGCCTCGTAAATATCATTCGCGAGGATTGATAGTCTTTCTGTTCAAGAGACCGGCGAGAGAGAAGCATTAGCATGCTAAACGCCATGACCTAGTTACAACGCGCGGGAAATAACGTATTTCCTATTTTTCGGTTTCTTAAAAACACGCTTCGTTGTTGCGTTAATCCTTCTTTCTCTCTCGATGGATTGACGGGTGTGCGAGAGTGAAAATCCAGCATCCACTGACGTTTATCAACTTTGTAATGCTGTAGGCTTGGCAATAAACTTGGTCGGACACGTGAAGCTGATTTAAGCGATGCTTTGTTGTGCAATATTTTTCGGTATACCTTACGATCGTGGCAATTTCGACGTTTAAATATCGCAAGATCTTTTACTTAGCGATAAATACACTTTAATACTGCTGCCAAAAAAGAAGAAAAAACATTTTATAGAGTGCTGTGATAAGATAAGATAAAACTGTGCGTCACCGCGCGGCATTATAATTCAATTAAATCCAATCCTCCGGTGTACAACTTTCTCGGTTGCGTTTTAAATTCGCACGCTCACAGTTATAATATGCGCGAGGCTGCTGTTGCTGTTGTAAGAGATCTCGTTCGGGGTCAACGGCCATCGAACCCACCTAAAGAGAAATTGAACCAACGTTCGCGCGCGAGTTTTCGCGGATGAAAGGCACCCATTGTGTTTATCGTAATGCACAACGCTTGCAAGATATATATAAATGGAAGAGAAACGAGAAGTGATGAGATTGGTATTTCTGGCTATCGTTTTATGTTTTTATAAATGAATATTTGCGTATTGGAAGAATGCTTATGGGTACATATAAATGATGATAAATGATGGTTGGATTTTTCGATTTTGTTTAGTGATACTTTGATTAGTTTGTGAAATAGTTGTTCGAATTAATGTTACTGTCGACGTGAGCTGTAATGAAAATAAAAAATCTTTGTAAAAACACGTGTTCCACGACAAAACTACGCCTCATGACACCAATTTAAATTAAAAAAATACGTGTAATACAGACTCGTTGACAATTCATCATGCAAGGAAATATTTTCTAAGTATTACCTCATTTATAAATAAAACCTGCGGCAAACTCTTATCAAAACCGCAACGCGATAGACCCACTTGAATATACACACGAGATAATAACGCGCAATTAACCAGTCAAATTCCTCCTCAACAAACGCGAAAAAACAATCACGCAAAACCCGCGGCTAAAACGTGTCGATATATTAATACAGAATGAATACGATCCGTGCTCGCGAAATTAATCAGGTTCAATGGAAAAAAAATTCTCCGCACGTGCAAGAAAGTTGCGCCGGCCGGTGCACAACATACGATCTGATATACGGCTTCGTATACCACTTTTTTTTTTCTTCAAAGTCTTGCAAGATTATATTAAGAGTCGGTCGCTGCCTCTTTATTATTTGATAAGATAAGAAGACTTCGAAGGCTTTTCGCGTGTGCGCTGCAGGATTTCACGTATTGTTAGCAAAATTCTGCGAGAGTTGTTGATAATATGTTTGCACGTATTGAGGAGTTCTACAAAATTTCGTTTGAATGTTATCTAATCAGTTAATAATAAGAATTATAATGGATAGATTGCTGTTCTTGACAGAATACGTATAATCAAACTGATTAATCAAAAGATATTGGATGATGCGAAATTCTTAGAATAACATTCTAAGATCAGAAATATATCGATTCATGTATGCAAAGAATATGCGTACAAATAATGATTTGTATCGAAAGTTCTTATTTAGTTAACGCATAGCCATCCAGGGGCAAATGCCAAGTCACGCGCAGACGAAATATAATTTCGTGAAAATCATCTATCTCTCTAGAAAATCTCTAACCCGTCAAATCCAATTTCTCGTGAAACCAGGCGACTCACGAGTAGAATCTCAAACGTCTCCATTTTTTTTCTCTGTGTCTTCTCCAGCAGCAGCACCAGCAGTAGCTATACATATATGCGGCGAGCCAACGGCCTTGCCACCGATACTCGCGAATGAGAGAGTCTACGACCCGGTTTTGTAGACGCGAAGTCGCCAACCGCATGATTAATCATCAACGCACGCACTATGGTGCGTCTATTCTAGGAATGAACGAGACCAGATGACGAGGATAATGTGGACGATTGATTTATTTGCATGTGACTTCTTCCTTTTTTTGCTCGCGTGATATATTTGATAGATCGTTGAAAAGGACATGGTCTTTTTTTTTATTGCCCGTTTGATCGATCGCTGTATACATGCAATGTTTTGGTTCGGCGAAAACTAAACAGAGGCATATTTTTAAACGCCAAGCACTCGTGACTAGAAATCTCTTTGAGGTATACGAACGACAAGAGGTGCGCTCTCTAAAACTGAAGAGGAAAGATCAATGTACACCAGGGATGAAATGAAGGTGTTCGGAAACCAACTTTCGAGTATATTTGCATTCGAAATATTCAAGTCTTTTGACTTGCAATAATTCCAACAGTTTTCACTTTGGAACGCCGCGGCCAAATAACACAAGCGACGTACGTTGAATTTTAGAAAAGTTCGATTGCAGTAGTTTCGGTTGCCAATGTGTATATCGAAATACTTTCTCTGCAAATTAAACCGGGAGTGTCTCTCATGCATCTTTTATCAATTCGACCCCCTTCATTGAAAGCTCGCATTTTCGATTTCTTCTCTCTGTGCTTACCTATAGATTCTCTCTACGCTGAAATTAAACTTTCTTTATAATGACTTTTTTAAGAGTTTCGGACGGCAGTAATTTGCCGATAGATTAGTTTTCAAGATTGTTTTTAACCAACTCCCGGCATTGGCTCGCTTTATCAAAAGTATTTCAAAGTTGCTTCAACAAAGATCGAACGCGCATATTAGATATCCAATTAAATTTCTTGAAACTTGAATGCTGACTGAGGACAGTCGTAAAGGTTTTATTCGAAAACTAGTTTTCAAAGAACCAACTCGCGCGTCTGTGTACCGTGAAAGCCCGCGTGTATAAGTTTTCATCGATTTGCCATAAATTTCATAGCGCCTAAGACGCAGCAGAGGCAAACATTTACATGTGACCCCATTAACCAAATTCAATATTCGCATCAGAAAGGATATTCGCAATTAGCAACACACATCATCATCATTAGCTGCATCCTCCCACGTAAGCTATAGAAAAGTCCCTCTCACAATACCTTCATTAGCGAAAAATAAAATCCGGCTCTTTCTATGTTCTAGGCCAAATTCGTTATGCAACGTTAAAATTTATTAATAACACCTTCAGCGCTTACTGGAGCATGAAATTCGAGCGCCATACAATTGATCGGACAAGAGCTTCGGCTATTGTTTTGAGAATGCGCCGTATTTCCTAGCTTATTATGAAAAATACACAGCCGACTGCCATGAAGCTTTTTACATATCTACCTGACTGACGAGTGTAACACAACGTTCTTTACCGAGCAATGAGTCATATGAAGGACTAGCCTCTTTCACTTTCCCGCGCACAATGAGCCAGAGCCGGCTATTCACATCGAATGCGTCGTCTTAGTCAGGAAAAAGAGATTGTTAAAAGTTCTCTATCTCATCAAAACCACGCGACTCCCACTGTGTCTAAGGCAACGATTTTCTCAAGGACTGGCCGCGTGGCGAATGAACTCTTAACAACCGTGTAATCAGCGCACTGTGCGCCTTGAAGTTTTAATACAAAGGTACGTAGGTGTGCCATGCGCGTGATACACCTGTGTGCGAAGCCTTTAAAAACACTTCATCTTCGATATCTAAATCGGTTTTCACTGATGAAAGTATTATTACAAGGATTGATATTCACTTTTGTTATTTACATGCTATCCTTGTTCAAACAGTGTTCGTATGTTGCTTCGTTGTTTGTGTCATGACGAACAAGAGAGAAAAGTGTAAGTAATGCGTTCGGGCTCTATGCACCACTGGCTTTTCAATGCTTCAATGTGCTGTTGACGTCGGGCTTTTTTTCTCTTTTGAATATGTATATGCTAATTTCTCAAATTTATGTAACGACATGTATGATGAGGATTAATTTGATCTGTCAGCAAACTAATTCTTTTAACGTTATTTGTTCTCATGAAATCTTGAAATACATTTGTATCACGTTTGCGTTGCCTGCAGAACTTTCTTGGTACTTAATTTCATGACTTTCGTTCTTTTATATTATTTTTTTATTTTTAAGGAAAAAAAAATTCTTGAAAGGATATTTTATCCATATGGTACATAATGAACGAGGAAAAATCATTCCACACATACACATATATGCGCATTTTTATCTCTTGCAAGGCACATTAGTTTTAACTCGGCTAGAAAACCCGACGCGCTAAAATTGCGATAGCAAGCGCATGAAATTTACGCCACTTTCATAAGAAAAAGTAAAAGTTTTTCAAATCGAAAAGTCAGCCACACTATGCGTACAAATTCCGGATTTCCGCCTGCATATAGATCCGGTTTTCAGCGCACAACAAAGGCATGCAAAAAGCCTTACCTTGACTTCGTGATAGCGTTCTTCGAGGTAGTATGCCAAACCCCTTGCCTCTTCGTATCTGGCGGCCAGCGCCACATATTTGTCGTAGTGCCTTTTGAACAGGACAAACCTGCAAATAAAAATACGCACATGTACATATGCTACAGCCAACGCTTACGTCATAAAAACGAGTTTCGCAAAAAATTTCTTGTAAGTCGAGAAATTTTGTGAAAGCCTTTTGAAACATATATGCGGGTTTTTAATTCATACTTTTTCAAGGCAAGAACATGTGTTTGCAATTCGAGAGTAAGAGACAAAGACGTTGGTTATACTCCAAGGTAATTATTATGATCGATTGTTTTGAATTGATGATTTGTATTGAGACTGAGCATGATGCTGTTTTTTGTATTTTGATAATGAAAAATAAATAATGTCGAAAAAAATACGATCAAGTCTTCTCTTTCAAGTGAACTATACGATGAGATAATTTTTCATAAGTTCTGACTCGATTCATTATTACTATTTATCCGTAGAAAGAATGTTTCTTTTTAAATTAAGATTGAGCAAACCAATCAATCGTATTTGAAACAAAATGTAAGACACGTTTTTATAGCACTTTTATCCACTTGAAAATATAATAGATATATTGTAAGTCTCATAAAGTTTTGTCAATATTGTTTTGTTATATACTTTGATTAAATTTTCAAATACTATATTTTAACACTTTTTTTTAATTAATAGTCTATTAATTTTCTGTGTAATACTTTGGTAAAACACTTTCAACGCAATAAAAATTCAAAGCGTTTATCAAGTAAAAGTTTATGGATTGTAAAATATCTCAGGACTTCACCAAACGCAAAATAACATTCTCACGCAGTCAACTCTTTTACTCTCTCTCTCTCTCTCTCTCTTTCTCTCCCTCTATCTATCTATCCATCTACTTATCTATCTATCTATCTGTTTACAAAGGCTATGATAAAGAAGAATGAAATTCCGTTGAATGTCTTAAAGCGAAAAAAAATTCTTCTGAAGGAATCGCGAAATTCCTAGCGATGTTGCAATATTTATCTCGAGAGTTTATATTTACGTGTGCGCGTGGATGAATCTGTCGATAAGACACCATTCTTGGAGGGGAATTTTCAATCAATGCAAACGAATCGTCGGCAAGCTCGCTTGAACATAAAGAACACGCATTCATCGTCGATCAAACTTTCTAATGCATGCTACACATTCCTTTGACGTCACGCTTTGTGTTTTCGTCATAATCCATTCTAAAAAAAATAAAGAGGCTTTTGTCTCTCTCGCGTTTTTTTTAATATGCCGCCATCAGTCGCGTCTAAGCGCAGAATAGAAGTGCAAAAAGTGCAGTCTTTCTTGCTCGACGCTATGGCGAGCCGTTCGATGACCTTTGCAAAATTCACGATAGTTGCGGAGAAGTTTTATACAATCGATGTGATTGCGTCATCATCACCGCATAGGTTCAGTTTGAATCAAATCGCTCGCAACATCGCTGTAGCGAAATATAAATTTGATCTAAGTTTAATTAAACGGTCGTGTACATATTGCGTGTACACGTGCCCTGGCATAACTATCGTTTGCATAAACGATGATGTATGAATTCGATATAAACGCTTATACATATATATTGTAGAGCAGAGAATTGCTGGTTTGTTATCTATCAAGCGTAATGAATTTCATTGCGTAATGCAAAATAAAATATCTTTCTAGCTCTTACTGTTATGTAAACTTGCATTAAATGGCCATTTTACGTTCAGACGTATGTCCAAAATAGATGTTATCCTATTTCAGAAAGAAAAATATTTCAATACAAAATAATAATATTTGGAAGCATTAACTGGAATAAATTTGAATGACCCTGTGACCTAGAGGGAGAGTGAGAGAGAGAAAGCATTTGAATACAAACACACACTAAGGCTTACCTATAAAGGTCATTCTCCGTGACGATATCTCTGATAGAATCTTCAGGGTCGACTCTGTCAGGATTCATGTGAGGCGAGCCAGGAGGTCTTGGCGTTAACAAGCTATAGCTTGGTTTGCTATTCGCACTTGCACCAGCACTCAATGCACTCGCGGCAACGAGATCATCTTCCGAAGCTGCAGCAGCAAGTATCGTAGCTGGCGGAGAAGGCGTACGAGTTGGCGGCCCGAGCAAATCCTCGCTACGCGAATGTCTCATTTCGGAATTACGAAACAGCTGACCGGCGCCACCGGGAGCACGAAATACTACTTCTGTTTTAGGACTAAACGTCGGTGATGTTGATAAGCCTATCAGTAGGTCTGTCATGATTGATGGTGTTATTTATGGCCTCCTTAGTATCCTTGGTGCATCGGAGGTTATGTTCACTGACTCTCCTCCGCTCCCAAATTTACCACTTTCGGTCTGTTTTGCTGGCACCAGTACTTGGGATTGATATGATGTGTGTGTGTGTGTATATATATATATATATATATATATATATATATATATATATATATATTTCTATTAATATAAAAGCCACTATTCAATTAGAAATAACCGACGCCCTTTTCGCAAATAAAGGATCACCGTAGCGGTCGATAAACAGTACTCCCTGGGCAGACACGCGCACTAAAGTGCTCTCGCTCGCTCTTTCTGGCAAGAACGCGATCGAATGTTGTCGCTCTTATCACGCAGAAGCTCCGACTTGGTCGGTGCCTACCTGACAACTGCCGCGTGCTAGAACGAAGCGGAGGGAGTGAGAGGCCGCGTCAACAATCGCTCGACAGTGTCTGTGCTGCCATGCCGATACCTACCGCGCGTCTCTTGTCTTTTTCTCGCCCGTTGTTTGGCCTCTCAACGAGTATGTTAAGGCTGATGCACATTCAATTGCTAATTTTCTTGGTTTTTTTTGGTAAGCTTTAATTAGTTAATTGTGTAGGTTAAGTTTCAGTTTTAAATAATTATGAGGTTGAACGTTTTTCTTATTGACAGGAGAAAGTTAGAGACTTAAAAATTAAAGTTTATTGAAAATGGAGTACATCGATAATTGATTTTTCTCTCTCTCGATCAATGTATAAATATTTTACAATTATGATAAGAAGCGCTAAAACCTGTTTGTCTCATTAAGTCGCGATATCAGCGATTGACGAACCAGTTAATTATGATAACGAATATTCTTGGTAAAAAAGTGACTTTCACTTGATAAACGAATTCTTTTCGATAAATTAATTTTTATTAATATATTTTGTTAACTACAATAAATGGTTTTTCCTAAAAAACCGTGCGAGCGTAGGTCAAATTTTCGAAAATTTTACTGTAAATAACCTGTTTTTTCTTAAGATGTTCCCGGAAAAAGATTTGGATAAACAAGGGAGAAAATAGTTTCTTTATTATTTGTTCCTTGTTCGGTTATAACCACCATCTGTGACGGTCATGTACCGCAAGAGGAAACTGTTTATTGCTTTGACATGACATATACTATCTGCCACTGGTAGATTTGTCTGGCAATTTGCTTTCGCGTGTTTGGCAATAAAAACCGTGTTTTTCTTTGGAGTTTCATTGAATCAGATATTTTCTAAAACTGTGGGGTTTGTTACTCAGTGAGAGTGCTTTTATAAAATACCTCATTCTTTTCGCTAAAATGATAATTTTAAGAATGGTACGAAGTTTTTGATTTTTAAATGACTTTATATGGTGAAAGGGGGAAATGCCGTATAAATGTATTGATATCAATAATTTTGTTTACACGTTCATATAACGGTATTTTCAATAAAATATGTGCAGTTATTTTGGTCAATTTATTTTTATACCCTGGTATGACATTTATCAACGATTTCTAATGACATTTATCTTATCACAAGGCTGCTGACAATATTAAAGGTCAAATTTATACTTGGATACTTCTTCAGTTGATAATTTAATATAGACGCTTCGTTGTAACGTACACAAATCATTCAACTTAAGCGATTGCTTGTTAATTGTTTTAGTTCATCAAAAATATCAATTTGTATAAGTAACATATTTATATAGAAATATATCTTCTTTCAAATTAAAAGAATGAATTAGGAATTCTTTTTCTCACATTTATATACTTAAGTAGTTCACTATCTTTTTTTTTCATTATTTTACTATTCAAATATTTAACTTGTAAGAAATGGCATTTTTTTTAATCTGAAATGTTGACAAAATCCGATCTAATATTAATTATGATAGTATAACAATCAAATGCACTGTAAAAGTAATCATTACTTTATATTACTCAATAATTTATGCTTTTTTCTCTGCTCAAACGATTTTTACCGATTTAAAATTTCGTCATCGCGTCGTGTTACATTCTCGATACCTTGCAATGATAATTATCATGAAAATGGATAGTACATAGTTATTCAATAAGATGTCGCTTTTTCAACTGATCAATCATTTCCTAATTTATCGGCATTGTTCGTTTTTATGATTCTCTGTTGACTGTCTCTTACTGCTGTGCGACTGGATATGGCTTGATGCGGCTATCAGCATGAAAGTCACAATTTAATTTGCATTCTTTAATGTACTATTTATTAAAAAATATTTGTTTAATTTAGTAAATAAGGATTGTCAAAAATGACAAGTCGGATTTTTAAACTCTTATCAGCTGATTCTGTGATCACGACACAGGTTCGGTATAAATTTTCTAGAGGAAAGCCACCACTAATTGCTCGCAATTTGGAGCAAAGGATTGCAGGTTATCATCACTATTTTTCACATGAAACATTACTTGAAAAATTATTATTAACTATTAAATGTACGTTGTTCGTTTTTAGAAATGGAATACAAAGATCCAAACCTATATTACAAAGTAGATATTGGCTTCCCATTACAAAAAAATCAAATATCCAATCTAAGAAAACAGTGGATCGAAGAAGTTAAAGCCTGTAGAGAAAATCCTGAATTAGAAAAGAAAGCTTTGCTCAATCAACGTAAGTAACAATACAATTAGTGGATACAAATGAATAGTTATTTTCAAGGAAGATTTAGTATTGATATACTGTCATAAAAGTGATACAAATGTATACGACCATAATAAATTTTTTCTTTTAATAATTTTAGTATCCATTGACATGGACAAAATTAGAGAAGTTTGGTTATTAACAGATGCTCCCTATGATATTCATAGGGTAGCCAAGCATTATGGAATATTTGATGATTTATATGAAGATGCATATTTTTATCCTGTTATTCCCTTAACCATAGATTATGATTTTGGACACGAAGAACTTTTAGCAAGAGTTTATACAGGAAATCTAATTAAATCATTCGAAGCTGAAAAAGCTCCAAATGTTTCATATGAGGCAGATTCCAATTCTTTTTATACGCTTCTTCTAACAACACCTGATGGTAATTACTCCAATCCAGAATTTGAGTATTGCCATTGGTTTATGTAAGTAGAATGTTTGTTTTCAAGTTGAATAATTTTTGCATTGAGATGTGAATGAGTACTAAAGATATCTTGTGTTTATTAGTGGTAACATACCAGGAAATGATGTTAGCAAAGGAGAAGAAATAATAGATTATTTAAGGCCAATTCCAGCAAAGGGTATAGGCTTTTGTAGATACATATTTGTATTATATAAGCAAGATAAGAAGATAGACTTTTCAGAATATAAAAAAGACAAACCATGGTAATTTTCTACATAGTAAAATGTATACTTTTTTTCTCTTTATCTTTGCAACTCAATGATCCATTTTTGTTATAGTTTAAACCTTGTTGATCGTAATTGGAAAACGTATGATTTTATTCGTAAGCATCAAGATTATGTTACACCAAGTGGTCTTGCATTTTTCCAAACTGATTATGATCCCTCTTTAAAAGAATTCTATCATAAAACACTAGGTAAGTAATGTTTCAAGTTGTTCATTTATAAATTTCTTTTAGGTTCATATTATTAGTCTATGACTCACTATTTATTCTGGTCTTTTGTACAGAAATGGAATTACCAATATATGAATATGATTTTCCTAAACCTTTCGTCAAACCTCAAGTATGGTTTCCTCTCAAAGAAGCATTCAATAAATATCTGGACAGATACAGAGATCCAAAACAGATCAACAAAGAGTTTTTACTGAAAAAACTGAAGAAAGAACATCCATTCAAATTTCCAGATCCACCACTAAAATATCCCAATGCCCATCCTATTAGAGGATATGTTCCGTCGTGGTTAAAAACAGAGATTCAAAAGGAACGGCTTAATCAAGGTCGAATACTTGATTGTAAATAAACATACTACATAGCTTATTTATATTCGAGTATTCGACTTTGTGTGATTTTTGTAGACATTTTAAAAAAATAATTATTGTACAAATAAAATACAGAATCGTTGTTAAAAATCTTTGTTCTTCATGATGAGTCGTGACTCATATTAGTCGTCCTTACTGGCATGCGCTTCGACCAGATTTTTACTTTGCATTTTGATTTGAGCTCGGGTTGGTACAGTTGGATCTACTGCTTCATGTTCAAAGAATATGCCTATGCAATAAATTAAAAATAAAAAATGTATGTAACTGCCGATTTACACACGAAATGAATACTACTAATAGAATACGTTACCCGATTGTTCAACATCTCCATCACCGAATTTCATTCTCGCACGACACTCAGTGATATAATCAGCGTATTCATTTCTAGATTTTTCTTCTCTCGCTTTGTTCATCGGGAAGTTTGTCATCATGAACAAAGCATTTGCTTTACGAGACACTTGCGTAAGCACTGCCAATCCTACATTAACCATTTGATTATAATTGTTCACTTGGCAATTGCCCAAATATTTCTTTCGTACCTTCAGTTTCAATAGTATCACCGCAAACTTTTTTCGACTTATCATCCTCGCTATTCGCTTCCAACTGCTCTTCGGCTTCTTTAGCCTCTCTCTCTTTAGCTTCTCTAGCTTCTTTAGCAGTTCTCTTCTCTTTAACTTTTCCATATGGTTTCGCAGTCGCAGGATTCACGCAAATCAACATTGACGACATACTTTGTAACGCCACTCTTATGTTCATCAACAATTCACCTCGCGATTTGATCATTTCGTTGTTATCTTTCAAACGCTTTTTCTCTTCTTTGATTTTATCAAGCATTCCTTTCTTTTCTGATCTGTATCTACAAAATATTCAGAGTTTTCACACACACAGTGATGTCTCGAAAATAATTAAAAAACTAAACACTGCTAATTCTGTATAGGAAAGGTAAAGAAATAATTATTACTTGGTAGTGGTCGAGACGACCGAGTGCTCTAAATTTTGTAAAACCAACTCGGCGTGATTTTTTTTGTTCATTATCCAATTTCTCTCTTTCACGCTGCGCTGATAAAGATTCGACAAACTCTCTCTATGCTTCACCTGGTCTTCCAATCTGCAATGTAAAAATGTTTTAATTTTTAAATGCTGCGGAAGTATAGTTCGGTTTATTTTTTGTACCTAGTAAACAATTCTTTGTAGGATCGTATCAGCATTGCATCTTTCATTTTGTCGAAAATTTTCTCGAGGTTCTCAATTTGTTGTTTCAGCTTGGCTTCTTCTGCCGAAGTATCCTTTTTCGTTGTTAGATTAGGATCACTCTGAAATAGAAACGGCTGTAGAAAACTTTTTCGATTGTCTTATCAACAGCGTTTACCTCCATTCTAACAAGTGACTTTGCATATTCCCAAACGTCCTCAGCTCTGTTCCTAGCGAGCTCGAGATCCTTTTCGCGTTCCTTCATGTTAATCCAGACGTCCTTTGCAATGGCCTTGTACTTCTGCCGTATGTCGTCGAGGTTCTCAATGGCAAGTTGACCCATCAGAGTCGTCTTATAAATCACTCGACATTGGTCACGTTGGTCTGCGCGTAAAGCGTTCAGCACACCGTCGAAGTACATCGAATCCTTGGGTTTTTATCGATTCCCGAACAGTAAATTATCCACTTTTATTGTTGCTTACTCTCGCTTTTAATTACGCTCCTTATTTTTTCACTTTATTCGGATGCTTTTAATTATTTACCTATTTTTTTTGCGTGCTTTCTATTTGTTTTCCAACTCTGAGTAAAAATCATAATTTTTGGACGATAATATTTACATATCGTCACGAAAATGGTTATGACCCACTTTCTTCGACTCCCTCGCTAAAATTTTCCACGGTACTGCAGGAAAATAATTGGTTTACCACCGAACAAAAAGTTAAATTCAACTGCAGTCACGCAAAGTTTTCAACAACACGCCCGATGCGACAAAATAATTAAACGTTGATGAGAGACTCGCCTCTAATTTCGTTAATGGGCGCATGATTAAACAGCGATTGGATCGCGGCTAGCCCCGAAATTAGTCGGATTACGGCGAAGGGGGTAGTGTCTGTAGTCGTGATTTGATGTCCGGTAATGGAATGATCAACCAATCGTGATATCGTCGCGATTGAATGCTTTTATATAGAAGAAGCTGCACTAACTGACACATTTTTATCTCTTTACTTTGCAAAACTAAAACTGTAGCTTGTCGAAGAAAAGAACTTTCTGCAAAGTATATACGTACAAGGATAATTAAAATGTATTCGTCAGTCTGACCGTTCAACTTCGTTTTACAAGTGCAGAAGTTGCCAGATGATAAACTTCGTACTTTACACATTTACTTTACAGTGATGGAGCGAAGTACGCAAACTTTGTTATATGAAATCTAAGGAAGAGAAAGTGTTTGTTTAATCAACGTTATAATCTTACTCGTTAACGAGGAATATCCGTGATACGCTTGAATCTACTAATGACTATCGATGCGACGTTAATTAAAAAAAAGGATAATGAGGACCAGTCGTTAGTTACAAAGTTTTATTAAAATATATCAGGGACGTTTTTAACTTTTAATTAAAATTGAATACCGTCGGTAACTTGATTTAAATTTCATCTTTGATGGATCTCAAAAAAATCGTCCTACCTTTTTCAAAATATCAAGAATCTCTTGATAAGTATCGGAGATGGCTTTAGCAGCATGTCGCTTGGCAAGTGCAACTTGATAGCGAGCAAATAGTTGCTGCTGACGTTTAAGCTGTTGTTCCTCACTTTTAGTGATCTCGTCTTTATGCTCGAGCGCGTCACTCAGCCTTGCGTACTCTGACTTTGCGAGCATCAAGTTTTCCGGTTAACAAATAAGACAAAAATGAACGTTTTTGTTCCAGCTGAATTACCTGCCAGAAGCAGTAATCCTTTCGTTTTTTTGCTTTGAGATACTGCAGTTTATCCAGTTGTTTACGATGGAAGTTATAATCTTGAAACACCGCTCTGTAAGCCTCCTAATTTGTTGTTAATAACTGCAGTGTGAAAAGAAAAGCGAATTGATTCACATTACCAATGGAACGGCGTCTTGTAATAGAATTTTGAAATCTTTTTCAGTTTGAAATATCGATCGGAGTAATCGCTTATCTCCGAATATGACATCTTTCAAAATTTCACGGTAGCTACTTGTGTCTTTCGTTAATTCTTTCAGATCACGATGATTTTTTCGCTTGAATTTTTCTCCGTTGATCCCTTGTAAATTTTTGTCGCGAGCTGTTAAAAAAAAACAATATTATTTTTAGATGCCAACCTGACATCATTTATGTGGCTAAATTGATTTGCAAATACAGACAAAAGCAATTGACGATTCATAGAGCCAAAATAATAAATTAAAAAGTATCCTGTTTTGCCTTTTCCAATATTGAATATCAAATAGATGTTACGCTTCTCTATTCTCACTCAAGTAAATATGAATATTTCAAACATTTCAACTTAAATCAACGGATAAATAATTTATAGTGGCATCGTAAAAACACCCTTTCAATTTAAAAAACAAAAACTAACGTCCACGCAAAACACTCATATATGAAAAAAGCATTTTCCTTGGGTAAAATAACCTCGATAAAAAGAAGAGTTAGTACAAAACTAACCATGAAGTTTAAGAATGCTGCGGTACTGAAGTATCTTCTCGCGTGTAGTCCAGCGCTCATTACGCATGCCATGGATCCTTGTGTATTTAGCCGACAACATTTTCGCGGTGGTGGTGGCCAAACGCCCCGCAAGCTTATTTCAATGTTTAACGATGCCCATCAAATATTCAAATCGTTGGTTTGGTTTGACTGTAAGAGAGGAAAAAATAAAATCGAGTGTGTACGTTGATTGAAAGGCCAGTACGCATACAGTGCGAAGCTCGGATGGAGATTTACGTTGCACGAATGAAAAGAGACGCGATGACAAATATTTTTTTGCTTTCGCGCGCAAACGATAAGCGTCTTTTGTTGTTAAAACAATTGAATAGAAATGTATAATTGAAATATCAATGAACTTAGCTATGATTTTTTCAGTCTAACAATAACTTGACCTTCGTATCGAGATTTTATCGCGTTCTCATTTTAGAAGTGAAAAAGAAAATCTATGAATTCTATTTCGGTGTTAACTTATAGTTTTTAACAAACAAGGCAAATTAAAAACTCTCAAGAAAGGTTGGAAAAACATCACCGTTGTAAAAACATCTGGCTCTAATATGGAACATGCTTTTATTAAATTATAATTTTTTCAATTTTCTCAATAATTTCCAATATCCTGAAATCGTCACGCATATACTTTATTAAATATTTATAAAACATTCGTGACTGCTAAGATTCATACCTATTTGAACTCATTAAAGAAAAAGCAATAAAAAGTACGAAAACCAATTATATCGACTTATCGTACGGAATATAGTAAGAAATTACTGAAAGGGTCAACGATGGACTTTTATTTGGTTTATATAAGTTAAAAATATAAATTAGTAAACCTAATAAAAGTGAAACTATAAATAATCCGAGTTAATATAAAGTTTTACTATTTGAGCTTGTCAATTATTATCATTTACATTGAAAGCCATTTAGAATGTCGTGTAACATTGCTATTCATAAGTTTATATTAGCGAATCAGATAACATGTATATCAATGTGACGTGACCCATGTACATCAGTTTTGAATAGAAAGTTCAAAGAAAATTAAATATAATTTTTTTTTATTTAACGTCGCTCTATTTATGCTCCATCAGTGCTAATCAGCGACGGAGGCTTGCAATGTGTTTAAGAACAAAGCACGTGAAACTTTTCAATGGTGCTTGTATCAATCAGCAGGGACTAGGAATCGAACTGACCGAGTCATTGCAGGTCTCTATTAAATTAATTATGCGGATTACAAAACAAAAAAGGCGATTATAAGTGCCTGAAACTAAAAATATCATTGAAATATTAATTCTACATCATTTTGTGTTGGGTACTCGAATTATTAGACAAAAGTAGAAATGTATTATATCACTTATAATGTATTTTTCCAGCTCTTCATAAAGATTATGTACATAGTATTTACATCTTGATGTATCGTAAGCATAAGTGAAAACATTATTAACCGCAGTGCTCGCGAATGGATTTTAAGGTTCTCGTTTTCAAATGGCTACCACTCTCATCATCGACGTTATTTTCTAAATGAGAATTTGGACCATATCTGTCTTTTGAATCCCAATTGGCATATTGAAAGAAAGTCAATGAATACTTATTTCCTTGACGTTCATATGATATGTGAGGTACGGCGACGCATAAGGATCCTAGACTATTCACTTTAATGGCGATTTCATTGACGTATTCATATCTTGGTATATCCAATTTCGTGTGTCTAATGCGTCTAAAATCGGTCAGATAATGGTCACAATAAACATCAGTCTCTTGTGCATGCTTTTTATGATATTCCAGTTTATAGCACACTGCGACGCCATGTTGACCCTGTTGATTGAAAAATGCTTACAACATTCCACTTGGACCTTTCCTTTATTTTATACGAGGAAATACTTACAGTCGCGATTGCATCGATGGGATGGTCAACCAATTTTTTTTCCAGAACGTTGAAATGATCATCAAGTTTATTGACGGCAGTTCGAAGCGATCCATTGTAAAAGCTATAAATAAGTAAATAAGTGATGTTTAAACCTTTTTCACCGTATCGCTGAATCAAATAAGGGCGTGCAATCTGATTGGTTATAGTTGTGAGCTGGTGATCCATTATTATCTTCTCTCCCTGATTTGTAAATCTGCATGGCATACAAGCTTGTCGACCACCGTAGAATATATCAAAGTGATCTTTACTATTGTACGTCAACACTTGTGGTTTATAGGGAGACTGATTCTTGGGTATCACATCTGCAGGTACATCCAAACTTTTGTAATTACAATCTTGGGGATTTATTAATAATAATGTCATCCCGACGACATTGAATGATTCAGTTTGTAAATCCCAAAGAATGATTGTTTTATTGTTCAATAAAGTTGTTTGGAAACCATAACTGAGATTTTTGAATGGCATAACGCACGGGGTGAAATATTCATCGGTCGAGTTGACGAATACATGCGACTCATTTTTCGATAATATATACGTTTTATGCCCATCTGATGATTTGTAATCTACTTCTTGAGTGTAGTTTCTATCGTGATCTGTATAATTTATTCTGAATTGTTCGTAATAATTCGGAGGTAAACGATGTTTCCTAGCTGTTACTTGTAGTATTCGTATACACAATATATGAAAAATTATAATTAATTTTTTCATTGTTTTATTTTCATGAAGAACCTAATAAAAATTATGATATTTAATTTACTTAATAAATTTTATAAAATATTTTTGTACTCAACGAGTAAAGATTGTAAAAACTTTTGAAAAAATTCTGATTAACACATAATATTATACTGCACAATAAAATGTATGTTCTTACGTATTTGAATAACTTTTCTCGACGAGCAGCAGCAGATCTGTTGTGGTCGATGTCGTAAAATACTTTGAAGCCAAGATAATAAAGTACGAAATATGAACGAATATATCGGAGGATTGAGCAACACTGTCAGTGGAAAAAACGCAGATAATTGATGACTCAATCTGTAATATTCATAATCATAATATTTATTAAAGTTTTCATGGTATTTGCACTGTTACAGAATTTTAGTGATAATATATATTTAAAAACATTTATTCTTTTCAATGACGAAATTAGTTTGTATTCTTTTCATGCTCTGTATTTTTTATTAATCAATGATAAAGTGTAAATGATAATTAATAACATTATATATTAACTATAATAAATTGTTATAGTATACCATAAAATGATTTGTTAATTAGCGCTTGAAAAATATAAGCGAAGAAAAAACAAAGGGAAGCCATCAATGTGTAATGAACAAATTTCAATCTGAAATAATAACCACAACTTTTACAATTGTCAATTCAAAATACATTTAATGAGAAGTTTCCTCTTACTTGCTATGTTTTCTACGAGCTTTTTTCAATGAAGACATTGTATCTTTAAAAAGATAGACACGTTGACTTCTAGTATAGTACCTCATGTACTCTTTCCAGTCGAAGTCGGTAATGTTAAAGTTAAATTTTTCTCTATCGACAAGATTCATTTCGTTCCACAGTTTTAATACATTATTGTTACTAAAAATCCACTGTTTTGCACCGTAATAAGTAAGCGTATCGTTTACTTTATGAATTTTTTCATAGACCGTACAAAATCTGGAAATTGCAATAAGAACTATTGCTCACCGTGGCTTTACTTTAATTACAATTTCCTTACTTGAGATTTGGATATATTGGTTGGATAAGTGCATCAATGATAGTCGCCGGCAACAAATGTAGTAATATTTTGTAAGTTTTGTATAACCATTTATGGTTAACAAGAACCAAATAATTATACCAAAGAGTCATTATAGTTGGTTCTACACTAGCCAAATTATTGTTGATGCTTATAAAGGAATTCCAATTTATTGCATTTTGACAAGACGACACGCAATTATATATTACTGGATCTACTTCGTCTATTAGCTTTTCGAAATTAAAATTACTCCTACAAGAAATCATGATAAATTATTGCTTTCAGATAATTAGAAACTAATCTAATCATACCAGGTTTTATGAATATTCCAAGCAGCAGCCAGAATATTATTAACGACGTAATCAGCAGGCATAACTTCAGCAGTACATTGCCCATTGATATGCAAAACGTGAACTATACCAAGTGCAACGCTAGCTAAAGATTTTGTAATTTCGTGCGAGTCGTCAATGTATCCGCACAAAGGTTCTTTATAGGTCGATAAAGTAATGGGCGATCGAACGATGCAAGTTGGCAATCTTCTACCGTAGATTTGTACTACTTCTTCAGCTAGAGATTGAGAGAATGTGTTTGCATTGGGAAATCTGCTAATGATGCTTGAGAGAAACATTGTTATAATTATTTTTGATATGGGTTTGAATAGAATGATGCTCTTTTCATTACTTGTGTGAGAGATCGTCCAGTATATTATCGGCGAGAATTTCGATGAGCGGTAAAACTTTTTCCACGCTCGCTCTCGGCTTGTAGAATCTTTCGTTTATGTACTGGTTTGTATAGTGTGAAAATGCCGAGGAAACGTATACAAATGCCTAAAGAAAACGAAATTTATTTCGTAGTATAAATTCCTAAACATATAAATAAAAATAAAATACCGTTACATCTTCAACACCCATTATTTTTTCTAATATTACCTCATAAATATCGTTGCAATGAGATACCAATTGAAATTAATTTAATGACAATGATGTAAAAAGAAAATATGATGACGTTACGCCAAGTAGTATACCTTGAGATTTGGCATTTCAGCGGCAAGTTGCAATATCAGTTTGGCGGCCTTGACGTTGATGTTGACGGCCCGACGAAGGCTCTCGTCACAACGAATGGCAGCTGGCTTGTGAATCACGACGTTGGTATTTTTCTGTAGGAAGTCTCGCGACGTCGAAGACAAGCCCAACTGGCTCTCAGTTGTATCGCCTTCGATCAATGTCACATGGTTTTTTAAATCAGGCTGCTCTCGCTCAAGTCGCTCGTACAACTGTACGTGTATAAACGATTTGTTACGTTTTTTATCCATTTTCTTTTTGTTGACGCATATACACTTGCCTGATCGGCGAACATTGATTTTAATCTGTCTTTGTATGTTATTCCCAATCTCGGCTTTACTATTATGTATAATTTTCCGATTTTTGGACAACACCTGATGAATTAATTTAAGAAAGTAAAATAAATTTATATTCTGAAGGTTAAAGTTATTCATATAGAGTACTTTTACCGAAGTAGTTTCTCAATTATAAGTTTATTAATAAAGTCAGATGCATCAGTGATTAATACGTTGCAACCACTAAAGAATTCCGCAACATTGCTACACTCATTACTACGTT